AAAGATCCTCAGGAACAAACCTGGAAGAAAAATATTTAGAATCATACTCAGTATAGCAGGCTGAGTTCATGCTGGCACCATCTCTGCTGCTGAATTATAAACCTCTCAGAAACCAAGGCTATAATTACAGCTGGGTGACACTTGAACTTTCCATGGCCAAACATTTCACAGGACATAATTTCTGCATGAGATTTCATGGCACATTGTAAAGCCTTGAACTTCTTCCATCACAGCGGAATTTTGTGATCCTCTTTTGCCAAGACATAAATGAATAATTATTGGCAAATAATTATAAAAATTAATTACTTTCCTTTTTGGGAGTAGGATCAGTAAGAAAGCTCACTCTGCATTGTTGGTGCTGAGCAAAGGCTGGAGAAGAGTGGCCAGCAGTGTTATCTGCAATGTTTTGTTACAGTGAGTGAGAGCTCCTGCTTTAGAGGAGAGGGCATTTCATATCTGCTCTTGCTTTCAATCACATCTTTTCATTAGCCATGACTGAACCTCAAACCCAGCTGGAGATGGTGCAGGTGAGCACTTAGAAGCTTGGATGGTTATCTGGAGCTTATCTGAACAACTTTTATCAGCAATATTGCAATGGGAATTTCACAAGAGTTTTTCTGGTGCTTCTTTTTCCTGATTAGCTACTGCAAGAGCTTGTCTGCTGCTGCATGCAGGACCCAGCCTGGCTGCAGTCAGAATGAGAACAAAACCACCTCATTTCAGCTGCTTTCCCATGTCTCAGAGTATGCAAAATTAGCACTGAGGCAACATCACTGTAAATACATACTAAATACATACTATTCTTAATTTCCGGGCAAAAATCAGAAAGATAAAAAAAGGTCACAAGCTATAATCAGGTTTTTTAATCTCTCTTTTCACCCCTTCTCCCTCTTCCCTATTTATGTCACAAAACTAGGAAAAAGCAAATTTAGATCAGGTTTGGGAAACAGCAGCTAAGATTTTACCACAACTGTATTGAAAAATAGAGAAAAATGAAAGCCTGGTTATTTGGGTCAGTAGGAATTGGACAAAGCAAATTAGTGGAAAACAGAATATAGAGAGAACAATTTTTAACTGGCTTGAGGGTAAATACAATGACTGATGCAAACATCCATTTCCAGCACGTTGAATTCCCTGCACAGCAAAGAGCTTTACCAGCATCAGCAGGGACGAATGGAAAATCAGATGCCCAGTTAATGCTGGTTTCCCTCCCTGTGGTTCTGCCCACCACGAGCAGCTCCATCCATCCAGGGGTGCTGCCAGCTGCTCCAGGTTTCTCAGAGAGAGAAAGGGATGAGGCTCTGCATGTCCCAAGCTCCTGCCACTGCCACCCCTGGCTCAGACACAGCAGAACCCCAGGGGCTGCACTGACCCATCCCATGCCATCCCATCCCATCCCATCCCATCCCATCCCATCCCATCCCATCCCATCCCACTTCTCAAGTCAGCACAAAGTGGATCGTGCCTCTGACAGACAATGGTGATAAAATTGTTTTCTTCAATAATTTCAAACAGGTTTAGGTCACCTAATATATTTAGAAATTAAACACCTTGCAGTACTTCCCTTTTTTATTGTTCTGTTTATTTATTTATTTTTTTCCCTTCTGATTTTTTGTGGGTTGTTGTTTTTTTTTTGAGGAAACACATCAATTAACAGATATTGCCGAAGGCAGAGTTTTTGCTCAACAGCTGTTCTTGCACTCTAAAAAAGCAGCAGAATACATGGCAGACAGAAAAACTCTCCCTCACTGTAGGCTGAAGTTGGATAACAGAGACCAAATAGAAGTTCCAAGAGTGATCAGCCTGATACTCATTTTGTATAAGTTCTTTTCCCTTTACATTGATTTTTTCTCCTCTGAAATGTGAAATGTAGTTCAGAATATCCCATGTGGCATGTCAACTTCATTTACCCACTGCATTTCTAATATGTTTTCTCCATACTCTTCTATCCCATCACAGCAATTGCTGTATGCCACAGCATGCTATCATGTTTTATGCAGAATTTCACAGTGAATTCAATGGTGACTAATGCTTAAAAAGAGCTGCCACAACATGGTCCTACCTTTTACTATAAAAGCACCTACCCAGGGTGTGAGATCTGGCTCTGGAAGAGGAACAGTCCCCTAATTTCTATCCTTCATTCCAGGTGGGGGAGGAGACCACAACAGAACTCACTTCCAAGTACCCAGCAAAGAGTCACATCCAGACCTGAATTTAGATTTAGGATTTATAACAACCTCTTATTTTGGAGCTACTGAGAACCAACAGGCTGCATCCAGCCCTACATCCACACCTGCAGAACAGGTACAGCTTCCCTGGCAGGTGAACCTCGGTGAAGTTCCCACCATGAAACAATGTCACTCCCTCTAACTCCTTGGATTACAAATCCCTCTTCAGTGGGAGAAGTTGTGTTACTCCCCTGTGTAAAGAAGGAGCTGACAATCTGTTGCTGCTGGTTTTATCTGCATTCCACTAAAATCTGAGCAATCATAATTAAACTCCATTGACACGGCCCAGCCAATATCGAACGCTACAAATGATATAATCCCAGTTTATAAAAATATTAAAGCTATTAAAAGAGCAAACATTTTCCCATTTGTTAATCACATCCAGCAGGACTTGCAGCAGGGTTTTGCAATGCAATAAATATTCAGGAGCTGGGATCTGGCCATATTACCAGCTTTGCAAACACTGCTTTTTAGAAAAGTCCTTTGGAATGGGATGTAGGTGGCAGTGTCTTTTCTTCGTTGACTGTGAGGGAGTACAAACAATTAGCTCAGTTGAGGATGAATCATCCTTAATGCTTCCAAACAGGAATTTGCCAAATTATATACAACATTGATTATGTTTCCTAGTGCAAGAAGATACAGTTTTAATTATACGACAATTTTTCATTCTTATTGCACAAAATTCTTGCTCCAGACAAAGAATGTCAACTGCTATTGTGACATTCCCTAATTCTTGCCTCTTATCTCATATTAGCAAAGACCCCTGAACAAAAGGGAGAGTGACTACCTTGACTTTTTTTTTAGTGCAGCAGTATTTAAATAGCAGGTAAAATTCAATGCTAGGTGAATTTAAAGAGTCTCAGCAGGTTCATAGCAGTCAGTCTCCCCAGAGTGGTGGGAACACTGGATGAACACTATGCCTTTCTACACCAAATTTCATTCTAAGGATCAAATGTGGTTCCTGCCTTGTCATCTTTCTCTCTCTCCTCCCACTTTGACAAAACAAAGTTAAACTACATTGTTTTGTCTACATCTGCTCTGGATGTGTGTGCGGAGGCAGGAGCAAAACTTACGGGCTACTCATGCATTTTTAGGTCTTTAAGATTTTGGGATCATCTGCTCTGCATGGAAAATAACAGCTTTCACAATAGTTTGGTTTGCTGTCAGGTAAATTGCGTTGTTTTAGTCTGTAAGGTCAGGACAGGCTGATGTTCTGGACATCAGAGAGGGAAAGTGCTGCCCATTGTGAGTGACTGTAGCAATGGAAGAAAGGAGGCACTGTCTGCATTCCAAAAAGTGGAAATAGATTACAGAGCAGAGAGCTGCCACTGGCATCTGCAGATGCAGCAAAAGGAAGCCACAAAGAAATGGAAATTCAGAAAGAATGATATTCAAGGAACAAGAAATAATTTGGTCATAGAAATAGAGGATTGGAAAACCCAGAACTGAACAAGAATGTGGGCAGCAGGAAGATGGGATCCAGTTCTAATTTGGGCTGTGTGCTCTCTGCTGCTTGTATTCAAACAAAAAGTGAATTTACTGAAATTTTCACATGCAGTTGGATCAGAAACAAGGAATTACTATATCAGACATACTCACCCCTTCTTAAACTTTTTAGATGGGCTCAGATTGACCTTCCAGTGTCAAAAGCCACCAGGTATGTATTACTGGCATTCCTATGCAGAGGTGAAAACACATGTGGGTGACATTCATCATGCCTTGTTAACTGCATTTGTAGTCTCCCCATGTGATATCAGTGTCTGAACTCCCACAGAGTTGGATGGGAGCAAGATCAGGTCTGCTATCTGTCACATCAGTAATTGCTACATGCATTAAAAATTAACAATCTAATTTGAAGGAGTGGCTTGTGAACTGAAGCTTTATTGGGTTAAAAGCAACACTTCCTGCAAGAAAAGTGGTTTATCTACTGCTAAATCCACTGCTTCCCATTACTGTTCAAATGAGATCTCTCTCTCCCATCTGCAATATATAATCTACAAAGTCCCTGATCCAATGATATACTCTTAGAATTGAAAGTTTAGACTGATGTTTTGCTTGAGATAATACAAAGCTTTCTATTCTCATCAGTAGAAATTCATGCCCTGTCAACACAAAATTGACTGTTAATGTACTCAAATAATTTAGCTGGGAGAAAAGACAACTAATGCAATTATCCCTGAATGGTTTAGATATTAATGTCTCTGGAGCATACTAAGTGCCCCAAAAGCCAATTGTAGCTTCTTAGAAATAAACCTTTAATCCTCTGCACCCCTCTATAAGAAAGAAAATCCACCTGGGAGCTTAAAAAGAGAGAAGCCAAATTTTTATCCACATTACTAGAGAAGAGCTTAGTTTACACAGGCTATTATTTTCTACTTGTTTCTGAAACTCAGCAACACACCCAGAGGTAAGAAAATGCCCTGACCTTTTCTAAGACATTTTACAGCTTCATGATCATGGCATTCATACACGTAGATGAATAGTGTCTAATTAATAGTCCCAAACCAAAATCAACATAATAATGACCTAAAATTTTTTATTTCCTTTCTCTGGAACCTCTATGTTGCTGCATTAAAAACAGAATCTTGGGATCAGAGCAGAAGCTGGAGTGAAAAAGGAAGCAAATTAAAGTCTTTCTTTATGTTGCTGATACCTTTAATCATGCATTTTACATACATGTGTGCACACCCACGTGCTCCCACATGCTCTTGGGCAGCACTAGCAGCTGTGCACAGACATTTCAAACACAAGCTTCCAGAGAAAGCACCATACCTCTTAATTTGCAGTAGGCAAAACAAGGTGGAACCAGGCTATGCGCAGGTGGTTTGGTTGAATCAGCTGCTAAAACTCACAGCCAGCTCCCAAACTGTCTACTTAACACTGCCTCCAACAAGCCCTGCTGTCCCCCAGTGCCGTGCCATCTGTGCCTGCTTAGTGTGCAGCTTTTCCTCCTCCTCTCTCACATGTTCACATTGTACCCCAAAGCCTGCATTTCCTGGCCCTCCTCCCAGGGTAGCTTCTTGTTACAGTGGCAGCACACAGGAACAGGATAAAGGTATGTCTGCCTTGTACCCAAAATACAATTTCTGCAGTGAATATGTTTCTTCAGGCAATTCCCGACTCTTAGCTGCTCTGCTAGATTTTAGGATTACTGTTTTAAGTTGCAGTATATTAAACTGTCACTTAAAAAAAATCCTAATGAAAAATGAAACAGCTGAAACTGGTGAGCAGTAACAAGAGCTCATCACTGTGGAGATTAAAAAAGTCAGTGGTAACTGGGCTGCACAGAGAATACTCCAGCAATCCTGTGTGCTTCATTCCCAGGGCTGCAGGTGAGGGGAGAGGAACTCCAGGATTTGATCAGCTCCTGAACTGAAGCAGCCAAAGGGGTGAGGATTTCTTCACCTGCCTTTCACAGTCTGTACACAAGTGCTGAATACAGTTTTAATCACCCCAGAAACACAGGCTCACCTCCCCACTCCACAGGCGTTCATACAGTCCTTATGCTTCCAGCTTTAAGAGTTTGGAGACATTGGCCCATTCCAAACAATTCAAGGGAGCTCTAGATGTTTTATGGATGCAGAAATCTGAGCAGAGAATGGAGATCTAGCAGGGAGAACATCTGCAGAGAATGTCACTCTTCACTGACTCCAGAAAAATCTGCAGCTTCAGGCTGAGCTTACCCCAAACCACAACTCAGTCCCAAGGCAGAATTCCACAGGAAGCAAATTTCTGTCACTGCCTGGCTCGAGGTTGTGGCCCACTGGAAAACAAGTGGCTCCACAGATCAAGTCTGGCCTCTGAAATTCCCAGAGTACCTCATTTAGAAAAAAGGAGAGGTCCATGAGATCCAAAAGAATGAAGGTTCAAATTCCATCCTATTTTTCAAGTATAATTTTTCTTTGTGTGCAATGCTCCTGTGGCTTCTTGAAGAAATATTTTAGTTGACCATAGATAGTAAAGAAATCATTGCTCTGAATTAATCTTGAGTACTTCCTTTCCATATAGATTCCCTCTTTTCCACCAGCAATATTCCCCTGATTACAAAACACCCTCTAAAAGCTCATTTCTCAATGAAAATTTGAATAGCAGCAGCAACTTTATTATTTTACAGAACCTACATGGAGGAAGTGCAGACTTCTCAATAAGGCTAAACAAAATATCAGACCAGATGAAGGCTATTCTGTACACACAGAAAGCCACTGCAATAACTGTGCAATGATTCACATTCCTCAGTAATGCCAGACATTAAATTCAGACAAGCAGAATTCTGAAATGGTCAAATGAATACCTGTAAACTTGTTTCATTAAACAAAAATGAAATATAAGGAGAAAACCACATGCTTGGAAGACATTTGATCATTCTATAAAACTTGTGAGTGAATTTGTCCATGAATTAAAGTTTAGTGTGTTTTAGGAGTTGTACCTTAAACCAGATCACTTATTGACCAATCTGTGCAATGAAAACAGACTGGGATTAACCCTGAATATTCCTTTGTATGTGGATTATTACTTGGCTGAATAAAATAAAATTGTACCAGGCCATTATTTGTTCTAAATACACCGAGAGTTTTGGTGACAGTGTAAACAAAACAAAATAGATTTGTTGCTGAGACAGCTGACATAATCTTGAAAAATAAGAGTTTAAACCTTCAGTTCCTCTGAGAGGCAGAGCAAGCAACCTCTTACACATCCCTACCTGCAAAACCAGGGATTATAATGTTTGTATCCTCCTGTTTTCTGTCTCACTTGTCTATTTAGACTGTAAAGGTCCAAGATAAGACCTTTCTACCTTTTGGATGGTAGAATGAAACAGATAAAGATTATACTGTTAGAATAAGCATCTTGTAAATGCTTTAAGTTGAAGATGCATTTAGAAAGATTAGCTGTAATAAACCAAACTTAGGTGTTTAAAATTATGTTGGACACCTTGTGAGATCAGCTTTACCTCAGAGTTAAGTAATTTCTACTTTTGGTCTTGGTGTGTCAAGTTTGTGATCTCTACACATGGGATCCTTAGGATTCCACGTCTTATTTATAGCCTCTGGAGGAGATGGAGTAACTTTAAAAAGACAGAACAATTTTCAAAAACTCAATTTTCACACTGTCAAATCTCATAACCTACCCAACCTGCCATCAAATACTTTCTCTCAAAAATTTAATTGTCAGAGGAGCTAAAATTTATTGATAGATCAATGACTTTGACTTGGGCAAATTTAAATAAAGGTAGTAGGATGTTAAAGAAAGTGTCATGTCCCAACCCCCAAAAAAGGACACAAGCTGAACTTTTAACCACACAGTGTTTAAAAGTAAAACAAATGCTCTAGCTGAGCTGGGGCCAGAGACCAAAGCTAAAGGGATGAAGCGAAATGTTAAGATTGTGTGAAATTCAGGAGAGGAAGTCACAGCTCTGAAATTTGCTTTTAGTATCAATATAAAGGAAAGCAGAGAAAAACAAATCGTGCAGAGCCAAAAAACTCCCTGTACCTCACAGCAAGATATCCTGACTTGGCAGGGTCTCAAAAATACAAGTAATGTTCATTCTGTGCACTGCCTTAACATAATCCATGTTATGGTTAACTTTATCTTGCTAAGGTTGCTACTAAGAGAATGCATTAAAGCCTGATGGAATTTCCATGTAACTTCATGCACGCTTGGCTTGAACAATATGGTAGTTAAATTATTCTTCTTTAATGTTATTTGTGGTGTTTTGGGGCAAAGGAAAATTCTTCTGAACTCCTCAGCTAAAACCCAAAAGACAGGGGTTCTTTCTGAGACTTTTGCTACATTAAGGACAGCAGATATCCCTGCTCGAGGAGATCACTGTCTGATTCATTCCAGAGTTCCATTACAAATCAGTTATATGAAGAATGAGGTATTGAAAGCAGATTTTAAATCTAATTGAGCATAAAAGGTTTGCCAATTTCCAAGACTGAGCTGAATCATATGAAATTCAACACCCACTAAATATTATTTCTCTCAACAGGCTGCAAGAAAGAGTTTTAATGATTTTACCTCTTAGACTGAGCCAGCAGATACCCAGAAAATATCAGTATAATTGTTATTACTAATTTAACATATTTTAAATTATTTCAAGTATTAAAATGTCTTTCACCTTGACAACCAGAGGATACAGGGCAGAGGGAAGTTAAAAAGCAAGATCCCCTTTGTGAACACAGCTCCTGATTCTCTGCTACTTTGCTCCTTGTTTTGGGATACTAAAGGGGGAAAAAGCTCTGCTCAGCATCACTGAGCCCAGTTACCAAATATTGGGCACCTAAAGACAAGAATCTGGGCTTTTCAGGTTTATCTCTGCTATCTAATGGTTGGCAGAAGGGAAGTTGGTAAGAATTGTGCAAGTTTCTGTCCGGGGCTGTTAAGGCTTTAGAAATGCCCAGTTACTGGGAGCAGTTCTGTGGTTTGCTGAGGGCTGCCTGAGGCAGCACAGGATGCATAAAATCCTTGTCCACAATCTTTTCTGGGAGCCTGGAGCCAAACAGGCTGAATTCCCTTGGAATATAACTTAAGTCCACCAGGAAATCGTGCTAGTCATACTGTTTGTATGAGGGCAGGTTTTAATTAACTGGAAAGTCTAAGATTCAAGATGCTCTGATTTTTGAGTCACTTCTGCTTGTAACTTAATGCATCAGCTTGATAACATTAATTCTTAATAAGCAATATGCTTATCATACTGGGCAGAGTGGAAACGGGCAATATTCTGAATTTCTGCTGTCTATTGTACATGGGAAATATATGAGAACTCATCTTTTTGCTTATGGCTCTGGAATTGTATACTCTGCTCGGCACTCAGTATTTCACTTAGCAAAGGACAGCACTTTATAACTATTAAATGCACTGCCTTAGGGATATGGTAACCCATTGACTTGACAAGTCTTTTAAAAAATGCTATAGTCAAACAGCAAGGCAGGATACATAGGATTTATCTGATAAGCTGGAAAGTCCCTAATGACCCCAAACACTTCAGGCAACACTAAGTATAAAAGTCATTTTGATGAACCTGCAAATCACATATAAATCAGGAGAGAATTTTTGTGTCCAAATATTTTTAAAGGCATATATTTCCACTGTGTCTTCTTTTTCACCCTCTACAATTCCCTTGACATGAAAATATAAGAAATCATTGTGTTAACTGATCTGAATTAAACATTTCTTCCACTTTGGCTCCCTACCTCCTTTTTTTATGGCTTCAGTGGGAAAATGGCAGCCTTCACTCATTTTCCTTTTTGATGCCTTTCAGCAGGACATGTTTTTCTGGGTTAATTTAAACTTACAAAGGGGTAGACAAAAATGATGCTTTCTCACATGACCATGTGGATGCTGTGCTAGTCCTGAGGATAATTTTAGCTATATGGTACATGCAGAAGTGACAGGAATAAGCGACAAACTCTGTTCAGGGTGCCAGTGCCTGCCAGTCTGCTATTCCAACAATATTCTGTAATTAATGTTGAGTGAGCAATAAAGAAAGACCCAAGAGAAAGGCAAATCTGCTTGTTTTCTTTTCATTATGGATGACTATGTAAGAGGAAACCAGGAATATTCTGACAGTGCAGCTAAGATCTGGAAACTGTACATCTGTTTTGATCATTTGGATCCCAGCATTCATAAAGATGAGCAGTTTATTATGCTCAGTGCCATTTGTCAATACATCTTTCCCTATTTGTCCCTGCTGAGATTATGGCTGCTACAAACTTAACAGCTGGCACTAGCACTGACAGCCCAGGGCCAATTTATGGAACTCAGCTGGTAAAATACTGACCACTTGTGACACAAAAGAATGTCCCTGTCCCAGCCATCCAGCTCTCTGCCCTTCTGGTGCCTGCTCTGCTCCTTTTGGCCAGGCTGCTGCAGGGAAAGGCTCCTGCCAGCACTCCCAGCTCCAGCAAGCC